AAATTATATTCTTTTGTATTCTATTTTATTATAAGTTTCGAATGCTAATGTGCTTCTGGAGATTGTGACAGAAGGACTACCAACACCCAAAATTGCAGTAATGCCTGAAAAAAATTTGTAAGAAAAGAAAATTAAGACAAAACGGAGAAATATATTGAAAAGATTAAAAAATTGTCTTAATTCAAAACTATAATCTATGAGACAAAACGTCTCCCTACAAGTTATTCTTTAATTGTCTTTGAATAAGAATACTTTAATTATGTAGAACAATGGAACACAGTACTTAGGTTTATAAGGTGTAAATAGTTTTATGACATTTTGTTCTCTGTAACTTATGATCTTGACTGAAATTGTGGTATGATCTGTAAACTCGTCACAAAAATTATAGAATTATTGAATTATTAATTTATAGACAAAAATACAGGACCTCACTAAAAAAAGATAAGGTAAATGTCTAAAATAAAAATTCTTATACTTTGTGATTTTGAAGACCCCTTTGTTATGATGTATATTTGTAATATTCTTTTCTAATTATACTGATAACGTCATACCAGATGAATCTAGACCTAAACCAGGCTATAACACTGTTCCTCCTGCACATCGGTGAAGTTTCCAGAGGACAACTTTGCATTATTCATCAAGCTCTATCATTGAACAGTTAGATTTTTTCAAAAGTGTACCAGTACATTTTTAAAGAGCAATTGCACTTTTCTTTTAAATGAGACATTACAACTGTTTTACATTATTCAATTCTTTATGTAATTTTAAAATAAAAATATTAGGAAGCGACATCAATGAAGTTTGTGTTAAAATGTCAATACAACTCGGCAGATATTTCAAATTTTATACAAAATACATTCGTACATTTGTTGTAATCCTACCAAATAAAATTATATATTTGGAAAGGTTGCATGCTTGATGACTTTACTTTTAATACCTTCTTCATTCAGAATATTACAAAGAATCAAATAATATAGTAAATATTGTAGCATTCCTTTTGAAAAGAGTGCACTTGTGTAAACATATCAAACTGCTCGACGATAGAGCCTGATAAAGAATACAAAATTACCTTGAGCTAACACTTTTATGTGCAATAAGTATTAAATTACAGCCTGGCCCAGACACTAGATCGACTCTGTATAGTTTCAATGGATTAATTAAATTATCTTAAAATTGCAATATATTTATTAACACTTACCATGTAAATTAATACTAAAATTCTTGCCAAAGGATATCTTCTTAAAAATACTCCCGTACGAATGCTAATTGCATCTAAAGAAGAATAAGCTCGTTTTACTCTTCTAGTAACGCCAGTATCAAAGGGAGTCTCCATTAAAAATGTAGGTACTTGAGCTTTTGTATCATCTGTGTCATTAGTATTATAAGAAATGTTACGTCGACTATTTTTGAATTCATGCTGAAATGATAATTATAGAGTACATATTCGTAGACACCAACATGAATTATCTAATATATATACAGAGTGAGTCCCGTTAACATAACGACATCAAATAACTCTTAAAATATTTATTGTATGAAAAAATGTTTCAGATAGAAGTTGCATGGCTTCCAGAGAAACATATTCTAATCAGTTTCATGTTATTTTGCTTTTTTATCAAGATATAATGGTCACCTTCAAATTTTTGAATGGAATAACTAATATTTCTTCCTAAATTCGGGTAAAGTGTTAAATTCTACATAAAAAAGTATTACATCAAATAGGGGTCTAAAATACCCCTCTATCTGAAACATTTTTTCGTACAACAAATATTTTATGACATATTTGATGCCGTCTTATTACGAGACTCGCCCTGTATATTAACATACTTCAATCTTTTCCAGCTGTAATCGTAAAGCATTCCTTTCAGTAGTTAAACTTTCCAATGCTTGCTGTTTTGAAACCAATGTTTGCGTAAGAGCTGCCAATCTTGATTCTATCTCACTATTAGGAGTTGATGTTGCAGTTAGTTGCAATCTCAATTTAGTAATTTCAGACTCGTTCTTTTGCAATTGTGCAGAGTAACCATTATGTTGTCGGATTAATTCATCTTTTAAAGTCCTTATTTCCTGTATCATTATTAGGATCAATTAAATTAGAAATACAATAGACAAAAAATATACAGTGCACATATGATTTTTGCATTTAATTATAACAAAGATCATATAAATTATTCATGGTAAATTACATTATATGCCTGATTACATACAATTACATACACATACATACATACAATGTAATTGTATGTATCTGAATTTCTAACTATGACTAGGGACTTCGATGTTTTATGTGCTGGACACGAATTTATCATTTTTTTATTCCTCATTTATAGTTTTAAAAAAAGTAAATTTAAAAAATAATGCAAATTTTCAGTTTTGGATGTATACTGTTATGGAATTTTTTTTATATCAAATTATTCTATACCAAAGCAAAAATATTTTACAACAAATCGACAGTCTATGACTAAAAGTCACCCTGACTGAAAGTCATTTTCTAACTTCTGTCAAAGTCTCTTAAAAATCAACATTTTGCTCTATTGAGTAATATAATTAGATTTTCTCCTATGACTTGTAGTTCTTGAAACGTAACATTAAATTCTACTGCCCTCTTTGGAAGTTTTGAATTTGCGTTTTTCTTTCAAAACTTACTCACAGGAAATGAAGAAAATTTACAATTGTATTCAGCATATAAAAATTCATAAAAAATTTGTTGTCTAATGCTATTAATATACCTCTGAATGTAATCTTGTATCTTCTTCTGCATCTAATCGTCGTCGTCTTTCTGTTGCAAGAATCTCTTGAGTTTGCATATTTGATTCAGCTGTTTTTTGTCTGATTTTTTCCAATTTGATATCAGCATTCAATAACTCTTCTCGAACTATCCTTAGTTGCTCAGAAACGTGTTGATTTTCTTCTCTAAGTGTATCACGCTCTTGTCTACGATTTAATGCAGCATAGTTAAAAAACAATTAATTAAATATCTATTTTTTAAATAATAATCCATTCACCTTAGTTGATTTAGTTCCATAAACATTGTATCATCCACACCTGTAAATTCGTTGCTTCTTAATTCCGCTATTAATTTTTCTTTTTCTTGCAATGTTTTTAAAGCTCTAGCTTTGTGTTGTTCTAAATCAGATCTAGTGGAATTTAATTCTGATCTACTTCTTTCTAACACAGACTGCAATTCTGCTATTTGCTTAAACAACTGCACTCTTTCTGTATACAAAGATTGTAACTTTTCATTTAACACAAGCATTTCTTTTTGGTGATCTGTTTCTTGTTTTCCAAGTAATTCATTTTTTACTTCCAAGTTTTTTTCTATTTCTTTTAAATATTTTCTTATATGCTTGTCATGAACCAATTTTTGCTTATTTACATGTTCCGCCTCTGTCTGTGATTCGTATTCATATTCTGATTGTGATGCAATATCATATGGTCTCTCAAGAATGCTATGCTCTAAAATAAAAAATATTACAAACTTATGAAATTATTACAATAACATAAATCACTTAAGGAAGTATCCCTGTTTGAATGTCTATCTTGAACGTATATATAATTTTTCAGAATTTATTTAACAAACATTATAAGTTTCTTGTACATGGTGTTTTACATATCTCAGTCTCATTGAGAAACATTTCTATTTGAAAATAAATCTTTTTTGCGCTACACAAAGTTATAAAACCATATGAAATTATAAAATTAAAAAATATTTTCGTTTTATGAATTTTACCACAGTGTTTCACAAATACATTTTTAGGATCTGGCATTTCAGGAAAATGCAAAAGAAATATTTAGTACTTTCAACTCATCAAATGGGATACCTCCTGGATATAACAATTTTTAATACCATGATTTAATATCATTCCTGAGATCTGCTCTGCTACTGCTTCATTATCTACTTTATGCATTACATTGTTTTTATAAAAGCTTTCAATTCTTGTATTTATATCATTGTGATTTAAATCATCTGGAACATCTACAGATGTATGCATAAGGCTAGGACTTGAATGACCACTATGAACTGATAATTCTGACACTGAATCTGTAGTATCAGTTGGATGTTCCACTATAAGTGATGAGGGTGTTGGTGGTGATACTGATACTTCTGCCACAATTCTCTTTGGACTTGATTCTAATGTATTTAAAAATCTGACAAGCTCCTCATCTTTAGATCCAATAGAATTTGTGGCTAATGTAGAAAGACTTGGAATTGAACGAACATGAGGAAATTGTTTTGGTGATTCCGAAGGTGACTTCAAAGTTGTTCCTTCCTGTGTGTTAAGACTGAAATGTGAAAAATATATTTTAGTACTATAGTCAAATGATCAATACAAATATAGTCATATGTGTTTGTGCCAATATAACATTCTTATTTGTTACTGTTACTTTTATTCCAAACATTTCTATATTAATATATAATAAATTGAATTAAACTATTGTTATGATTTCTAAGAAATATAATATTTCAAAGCAACAAGTGTTTTTATTTATACTTTGAGTAACATTTCATAACTTTTTTTATTGAGTACATTTGCATAATAGACATTTAATAATTTTCTTTTTACCATAACTCTGGTGGAGTCCATGTAACTTCTGTCAGTTGAGACTGTGATACTTCATATTTATCTTTATTTAAAACTGCCGCAGTATTTTTATCTATTTTATTTAACAGATTTTCTGCCTTGTCTGCTAGACCTGACAGCCAGGCCATCTTCGTGAAAAATTAAGTCAAACACTTGTTACAAATACATGTAATGATGTTTAACAGTAAGAAAATTCATGTATTCTTAATCACAGTAACATAACCTAAAACAGTCTGAGCATAACTTTTACGTATAAAAATTATTATTTTTATTATTTAGCTACCTGAATTTTTACCAATAGCATTGGAATACAAATATTTCTCTTATTATAACATCTTAGAATGATTATGTGTGATACTTTTGTTACTGCTGATACTTTTTAAACACGATTAAATTATACATACTACAATGGACTATATACGTATGTATGTACATAGATCAAGTAGGTGTATA